GAGTGATTTTTAAAAGGGCTATACGTCATACCTGTCACTGGAAGGGAAAAGCCTCAACATTCAAGCAAATGAAAGAATTATCAATGCTCTTTTTTCTGCAAGAGGACTAGAAACATAAATAACCAGTTTTATACACTTGCAGGTTTGAGCCCTCAATCTGTAAGAAAGTTCTGATCTTGCATGGATGCCCATTACAGCCTTAGGAATGTTGCTCAAGAGCCAAATTTGATCTAGGAAGAGCCTATTACAAATTTCACTGGCAGCTTTAAGCAAATTCACATTTCTCATGTCTGCACAGAAACTGGACAGTATCTGCAAGTTACTTTTCTGGCAAGATGACTCGCAGCATAATTCCCTGTGTGAACAGCCTGTGTGCATGCTTTATCCCCCAACTGTCGTGCCAGCTTAAAGAGATACATGAAGTTTTGTGGCCACATGGTCTCTGCTCAGTTTGCATTTTTGGCCTATGCTGGAAATACCTCCTGCCTAGGAATTCAGCCAAACATGCAGCAGTCTTCAGGACCACACAGTCATTATACTGTAGACAGTGAAATATCTTTGCAAACCATCCTTGCCTAGCCAGCAGGTACTCATGAGACACAGCAAGCAATGCTGACCCAATTTTTTTCTGAGATGCTTATGACTTTCCCTCTCAACTCACTAGCCGACACTACTTTCTCCAACTACAGCTCTCACTTGAATTGCAACACAACCCAGAGTCAAGTGCTAGCAATTGCTTTTACAAGCCACTTCACTTCTGAGATGGAGACACCCTGAAAAGATTTTCCCATTCCTGTTGATAACACTGCTACATATGCTCAGTATGTAGAAGGGAAGCCTTGCATCATGTGAAGCCTAGTCCTATAGGGTCAGGGCAAAAGGTTGCCTTCCTTCCATGTAGCAATCAGGCTGGGTTCACACATCCAAGTGGTAAAGCTTTAGATCACATTTTTCCCAGGAAGGACAATGCACCTCCACCCCTGCCTGCAGCCTGTAGTGGTACAATCCAGGAGACTTTGCCAGCTGCTTTTACTGATTGTGCAAACTAGCACTTCGTTCCATCTGGGGAGGATTGGAAGCGATCAGACATTACTCCATGGCCTTCCCAAATTATTTGTACTGGCCACTTTAGACTGATTCATCACAGATTACTGACAAGATGAGGCTTAGCCATATAAGAGCCATGAAGAACTAACAGAAACAACTCATTAGATCCAATTGCTGGAAGCAGATTCAGGGCAGCCACCCTGCAGGGCCCACAACCAACACCCACCCTGGCTTTCTCCAGCAAACTTCCGCATGACTTTGAGAGCTGTCACTTTCATTTACCCAGGGCCCCTGCCAAGAGAGCTGATGGCTGCAATGCCAGACAGGCAGTGCAGCTACTATGAGCTTTGATCCAAGCTTTTAAGGAGCTATTCGTGGTACTGAATTCCCCCCTCCCCCAGAATAGGTGCAGCACCATGAATAGCCCCATTCACGCTCATTGGTGTCCCGTCTTTTCATCTCTAAGTTGAGGTTATTAAGACTTAGCTTGCATTAAGAATTGCACTATCCTCTGCACAGCTGCTACGGAGAACCATAGGGATGGCTTTACTCCTGATAGGTTTGAAAAGTTGACACGGATGTTGGTTTACTGTGAATTAGTGTAATAGTTTTATTTACACAAAATATGTGTATATTGCCTTTGGGCCTGAAGAAGTGCCTCCAAACCAGTTTATACTAACAAGTATACATCTAGCTAGATTGAAGCTAAAAGCAATCTTTAAAGCCACTAAAAGGTTGCTGTACCATCCTGCTTGCTACATTATTTTGTGCGCAAGCCATGGCTTGTGCCTGGGCATTTCCTTCTCTTTCTCTGTCAGATATAGTAAGATTCACAGAACCGTAAGGAGAGAACAAAACTCTCGAGTGCCAGGAAGCAGGACGGACAAGAGTGTGAGCTCAGTTGGACTCGTCAGCATTCCTGGTAACGCACAGCTTCTGTTTCCCTCCAACTGAACCCAGAGCTATCCATCGCCTGGACTGCACTGACAGCAATTCTCCTATTTGCTTTGCTGAGGTAGAGCAGAGACTGGACAGGCCCTTGTGAGACCTCCTGAATCTCATAGGCACGGGCCAAAGCTGCTGTGTCACAGCTGAAATCTGAGTAGCCGTTCCGTTGCAGCCAGAGATGACAACTCAGCTAGAGGCAATGACCTTTCCCAAGGAATGGCACACGCTCCCTTGAGAGGACCGTGGGGAGCCCAGGCCACCCCCAGTGCTACCGAAGTGCTCCTCCGGCCCATTTCCCAGTAACGCCAAGAAGGGGTTTAGCGCAGCCTAGAAGCATCTACAGCTTGGAACTGAGGCACTCTCCATGGTGGATTCTTAATAATAACCAACATTAATGAGAATGAGTGAGGGAGAGAGCAAGCAAATGCTCTCTTTCTCCTGCTTCAGCAAACTCTGATTATTCAGAGGCCTGACCAGAGGAAATGGATGCCACTGAGCTCTGAAACTGCCAAGTGGTGGCAGTGGCAGAACGCCAGAAGAGTGGGCGGCAATGAGGAAAGAGTTGCTCATGAACACCCGGCTTCTGCGAAAGGATCATGAATTTTCCATGCCACACCTTCCAAAGGCATCAGGACAAAGTGTTTTCAAAGCACCATCCAGTCCTCACTGGCAGAAAGACATGGAAATGAGAGTGACAAGGAATGGCCTTGATTTTTTGGTGTCTGTGTAAAGCAGAAGATCCCAGAACCCAAACCAGAGGCAGTATCAGGAGGTGGCCCATTAGAGCTGGAGCCTCAAATCTTCCCTAAGGAGCCCTGGATCTCTGGGAGGTCACCTACACCACTGCTCTGATGTCTGTGGGCACTCGCTGGAAAAGGACCCCTGACCATCTCTGCTGCCCTCCCAGGATCTCCCAGGATCAGCTGGCTTTTTGCCCAAATTGGCTTCCCTTGCTTCTGCTCTCCACCCCTACCCCCTTATTTCTCCCTGAAGTTTTCCCCTGATATCAAGCACCCTCCTCTCCCTAGTCCATCCTTCCTTTTTTGCAAAGGAGTTGGGAGTTCCTTAGGAAAGAGGGTCCTTTAAAGACACACAGAGACTTTAGAGTATATGTAAATTAGCATGTGTAATTTGTGCCATTTTTTTGCCAATAGGCCAAAACCCTGGATCATTTGGGTAGCTAGAACTGCCCCGATCCAAGCTGGTGTCAAGGAAAAATAATCTGCTACCATATATCTAATCTAAACCTAGGTAAGTCCACCTTCTTCAGAAATAAGGGTCCCTTATGAGGGAGTTATGACAGGTAGCCCTGCCATTAAAATATTTGACTGAATGTACTAAATGCAGAGGGACTTGGGTACACTTACCTTTTCTGGACTGTGACCTAAGCTGTACTCTAGACCTCTGTGTCGCAACTGTTCTGTGAAGTAGGGGTGTTTTGGAAACAAAAAGGGACACCCACTGAATTCTTTTGGAACTGCAATTAACATTCTGACATATGGAACACTCTTTCAGATAAGGGTCTCTAGCTATCCTATTGGATGGAATTTCAGGTTTTCAGAAATTCTCTGTTTTTAATTACCTTAACTCCCTCTTAAGATCTAGCCACAGGCAAAATTACTTATCTGTTGGGTTCTCAGCATTCTTAGAAAAAGAAACAATACATTAGCCCTTGTCTGAGTGCAGGGGACATGCAAAAGACCGATCAAGGAAGAAATGAACCTGATATTAGAGCTTCTAGCACCACACAGATGCTGTCTAGTTCAACATGCATTTTGCATCCACTAGCAGGTTTAAAGGAAAGATGAACAATCCACCCATGTCCATTTTCCGTCCATTTTCCATCGAGTTTTATAACCTCTATGGCAAATTTGAGAAAAGCCAGGATGCAGTAAGCACCATGAATCATTCTGTTTTCCTTGTAAAATACTGGTATACACATACGCACACACTTTTTCTAGCACAAAGTAGGAGGAGGAGCCAGCCCAAGGATTATCATTTCTGAAAAGGATATTATATTTGACAGAATGTGAGAAACTGGATTCATCAAACAAGTAGCAATGGAATTCCAACTGCAGGATAAATGTCTAATTAAAATTGGGGGAGGGGGCCATTGATGGCATGGCATTAACAAAAGTATCCAGCCAATCTTGAAATGAAACCTCATTGCTAAAGGTGCCTGCTTTTCTCTCGGATACATTTCAGTTTACCAGGGGAAAAAAACAACTTTGAAGAAACACATAACTACTCCTCAGCCATGCTTTTAACATTTTAGCTAAAAGAGACTGTGTTTCTAGGCTGTGGCTGCATGTTACCTTCTTAATCCGTTTCACACAGGATGGATGGTTTTAAAAAGAAAGGAAAAGAAAAGAAAATACCTTAGAGAAAATTCCAGCTGACATTCTCCTGAGCATCCATCTTTATGCAAAACCAATAGATAAATAAATAAATAAATATAACTAGCTGCACAATCACCAAAGCAAAGTGAGGTTCTGCTGTACAGGCCTTAGCTCAGGGGCTTAGTCTCCTGTCTCTGTGAATGCTCACGCCCACCATCTGACCTTCAAGCAAGAAGGAAGGCCATGGATGTGCAAATGAATGCATTCCATCAGTCTTTTCTCTTCCCCTCCCCTCCCCTCTCCTTTCCCTCCCCTCACCTCTCCTTTCCCTCTTTCTCTTTTTCCTACTGTGCTCAGGTAGCATCAGTTGCCAGAATGAGGCCAAGTGTGCCAGGCCAGGCCAGGACTTCTGTCCCGCTCGAAACATTTTTGTCCTAGTAGCGCAGTGACCTCTCTGGTCAGAGATGCGCACACACCTTTCTCAGCGCCCGCCACAGCTCGCCCTCGGTTCACCTGCGTGCAAGAACATGCCCCCCAAAAAGCCCCTTCCTCCGTGCCCGCCCGTCTGCCCGCCCCCCCCCCAGCCCCCCTATCTTCCTCCCACTGGGAATGCATGTGCAAGAAACCCGACCAGAAGAGCAAGCAACCGCGTACCTTCACACCCACCTTTGGCTCCTGATGTCACACCTTGGAAGCTGGCTGTTCCGCAGAGAGGTGGAACGGATGGAGAGAAGGAGCGCGCGGGGGGCGGGCGCGCGGTCGGGCGAGATACCCTGGAGTTTCCCACAATGCCTCGCTGCAGACCGCATGAAGCGGAGGAGCGGGAGGGGCGGGGCAGTGGGCGGGGCCGGGCCGAGCGAGCCGAGCCGAGCCGGCAGCCGGAGTGGCTGCGGAGAGCCCCCTCGGCGCGCGGAGATCCAGGGGAGGGGAGTGGGGGAGGGGGCACGCTCTGCGCAGGAGCCGCTGGCGACCGGGCTCCCCTCTGCGCGGACGGAGGGCGTGCTGGCCGCCCGGATCGCTGCGTCAGCCTTGCCTTAAGCGCGGGCCCCCTTCAGATGCTCGGCACCCCAATCCCCGGAATGGCCCAGCCGGGCATCCGGAGGGGCCCCGCTTCAGACAAGGCTGCAGCTGGGGGGGGGGGCGCCTGCCCTGATGTAACAGAGGGGCGAATTCTGAGGCGGGGTGGAGAGCAAGTCCACGGGGGGGTGGGGGGGTTGAGATCTCCCTGAACCAAACTGCTCTTGAAGGGGTGACAGCAGAACGCGGGGGGGGGGGGTCCTTTCCCTTGAAAATAGAACAATTCGATCCCGCAGCTGGAAACTCGTGTATAATAGATACTTTAAACTGCGAAGTCACTTGTGTATTTATTTATTATTAATGTGCATTTGTCTCGCTGCTTCATACCTCTTCTGAAACCTGGCCCATTTACATGAAAAAGATGATCTGTTCTGAACTTGGAGGTGCAGTTGCCACCCAAGAGGGGGGAAAGCAGCATTCTTTGAAATTTCTTCTTTAGGTCTTGTGCAAATAATGTGATTATTCAGTTTAGGCACTGGACTTAATGGCATTAAGATGGAGCTTTGGGGGTACTTTCTGTAGCTCAGGGGTGGGCAGAAAGTAACTCTCCAAATTCTTTGGATTTCAGCTCAGAGCATTCCTGTTCAATGGCCAAGTTGCTAGTGGCTTCTGGGAGTTGAAGTTCAAATCCCTGCCTGCTCATGCCAGAATCTGGTGTCCTTTGCATCTGGGCACCCTCCCTCAGTTTAACAGTTCTGTGTAATTTGCTGTTTGCATACTGCTGAGGTGCTAAACCTTGGTCCAATAAAAAATCAACTACATGAGCAGCAGCTGCCTGGACCAAGCAAAACTCCAGCTGAGATAAAAGGGGATTTAGACTGTTTGACTTCAGTGCATCATCCCCTTATCAAAGTTTCTTGTGAAATCAGATGCTCTTGTTTTCAGCCTTAGCTGTGGGGAAAGCTAAGTCCTAAGACAGCCTTCCCAATGGCATTCTGGGCTTCAACTCATTTCAGTCCCAACCAGCATTGCTAACAGTGAAGGATAATGGAAGTTGTTGTCCAAAACACGTGGAAGGCACCTCATTGCTTGTCAGGCTGCTATAAAACAAGGCCTACTTGCAGCTCCTGCAAAGATGCCATCCTCTACTTCGTTGCCGGTGCAGCAGATGGATCTGTTGCTTCTTCCCCAGGGAAAACGGTTTCCTGTGTTGATGGCAGAACAGGACTGGGCCTTGCTCAGGCTTGAGCGCAGCGTCCACAGGGAGAGGGTCTTTATCAGGGCTCAGTCGGAGCTCAGAGCTTTTCACCTCAGATATCCTTGCAGTGGGGTTTTTGCTACCAACCCCCAGGTACCTTTTGCAAAAAGGCAGACACCATTTTCTAAAAGTGATTTTGTATTCTGCCAGAGATGCTGTGAAATAGACAGCTTGAAGACTGAGAAACTATTTGAAATCAATAAGAAGGGAAGAACCTGCTGTGTCTTAACCCTCAGAGCCTCTTGGAATGTAAAGGAGCCGCTTTAGAAGAACTATCCCTGTACTCTTCAGCCACAGCACCATCTCTTAGGTTTTACATTTAAGTAGTCAGAGCTGTTAAAATGCTTGTAATGCAGTTCTATTTCCAAAAGGGAGACCTATTTCTGCATGATCAGTGCCCCAAAGGGAGTCCACAGGGAAGCCACACACACGCCATTCTAAGTTCCCCAGCTGCCAAAGGACTGGCAACATCTGTGCCATTTTTCCTTTCACTTTTCCAGCAAATGACACTGACTGTTCCTTTCTCCTCTACTGCTTTTTCTTTCCAAAACAATCTGTCACACTAGGTTTGATACAGAAGTCTGTCTTTCTTTAAAATACTGAATGATTGTACAGTGGTAACCTCTGGATGGGATGACCATTAATGCATTCTAGGTCGGTCTGCCTCAGAGACTGCTCAGAAATGGCTTCTTTCAGAACAAAAGCCCGTATTTTGCCAGTGCTTAAGAATATGGTGCTGCAAACCTTCAAGACCCTACATGGCTTGGGACCTGGCTCAGGACCTGGACCACTGCCCGCTGCAGATGAGCTTACTCATGTTTTCAGAGACCCCCTTCAGATGTCCCTGAAGTGGGCTATGTTGCCTCTGAGGGAAAGAGCCTTCTTGGCCGCATTTGTTTCCCGTTTGTGGAACCTTCTTTCTGGGAAGTCTCACTTGGCATTGCTTCTTTTGGTGCCAAGCAAAGACCTTTCTATTCTTCCTGACTCTTGATCAGTAATGAACATGCTTTCATTGTATCCTGTTGTGTTGTGTTTTGTTTTGTTTTGTTTTGCTGTTTTAATTTGGTGGGTGGGGGTGGGTTGCTGTTTGTGTGGCTTGGTTAATGGTTTTGCTTTTGGCTTTAGATTTTTATTGCAAACTACCTTAGGAATGTTTTTACACCAAAAGGTGTTGTAAATGGAACTAATAATAGCAACAGTAATTAGCTTGTCATTTAGAATTGCATCATAACTTTTGCATCACCATAACAAGTGTTCATAGAGGAACCCTGGATACAGAATAGGCCTCCTTTCGCACCTGCTGTGCATCTGGTGATACAAAATTACATTATGACTTTGCTATCTTGACACAGGATCTATCACTGTAATTCACCACCCACAACCCGTAGGCAACCACTGATTTTTCTTATTATAAAGTGAAGCACAGAGCAAAATGCGTGCACGGTTGGAATTTACAAATGGCCAGGAGATGGCAGTCCCCTGCTCTGAAAGAGAGAGAAAAAAACCCTGACAAAGCAGGCAGAAAAAATGAACAAAGGTGACCCAGTTGGTTTTGCAAAATGACAGTCCAGAGTTTTTAGAGAGAATTTAAGCAAGAGAAAAATAGAGGCCATGTCCTGATTATGGAACCATTTTATCCAGCTGCAATAGAATAGCATTGCTTCTTCCTAGTTCAGATATCAGAAGTCTGTAAAATCAAGACATAGTACTTTGCATTAGATTAGGCTTTATCTTTTGGTTTTAAAAAATCTTACTGGGAAAATGGGAGGAGCCTTTTAAAAAGATGACTAGTTGACTCATATTGCTGTCACCATCCTGGGTCCAAACAATGAGCCAGAAGACTTTGGGTGTGCACATGGACACACACATCCATCTTGCACAAAGTTGTGTTTCCATGGAACCGGAACAGCATTTAAACCATACTGCCGAGTGCTGTATGATGCAAGTCAGTTTGGTGAATCAGGACTTCTGCTTGCAATGAAACTAAATGGTTAGCTCCCTTTCCCAGAACCAAAAAGCACCTTGATCATCTCGTCCAGGGGTGGGGGATGTGTTCGTTTTCAGACATTGCTGAATGCCAACTCCAATACCACATTATCATCTATGCTGACTAGGGCTGATGGGAGTTGCAATCCAGCCGGAAGGTCCTTGCCCACCCTGTTCTAGTCCAACTCAATATTCTCCGGGGAAGTTAACCCAGTCAGACGACATGTATAAGAGATGCTGTCCCAGCCCTTCACTGTTGTGCAAAACTGCCTTTATGCTCAGTAGCCAAGCTAGAGCTCCAGTTTCACAGCTAAGCAGAAATCTATAACTGCTTGTCTCCAGTTTGCTGAGGGTTTACAGGGACTCTTGAAGCCATTTCTTCATCAAAACCATTTCTATGCCACCTTTCAAAATCAGTGTACAATAACTGATGAAAGTACAATACCAATGGTAAAAAAAAGGTTTCTCAACTGATCTGAATACTATGCCAAAGCAGATGACATTATAGTATTTGAATCTCTTAAACAGACTTTGAAGTAAACAAATGACTTATATTTGTTAAGATTGCAAAGCAAGCTCTATTTATTGAAATTATCCCCACATATTCAAGCTGATGAAAAGAACAAGAGTCAAAACCTGGGTCAGTGCAGTATTTAAAGACTAGGTGCTATTATATGTATTATTTTTATTTTTATTTATTTATTTAAGGTTTTTCTATGCTGTCCCAATTACTAAAAAAAAGTCTCTGGGTGGCTTACAGAAAGGGGTCCACTAAACAGAACCCATAACAATGACCAAATAAAAAAAAAAAAAGGTTGAATTGTTTTGGAGGGGGGAGGCTAGCATGTTTTTTGTCTATTTATTGTGGCAACATTTCACCAAGGACTTCTAGGTCAAGATAATAGTCATTAGAGCTGCAGCTTGGTTGTAGAATATTCGTCACCAAGATGCTGATGACTCAATTTGGACTTGCATAGAATTTGCAAGCTCCTTCCTTCCACACACCAAAGATCTGAAAGTCAATTTGATCTGCCGTGCAGGTGACAAGCAGCCATGGATTTAATCAAATAAACAACTGAATAAACCCAGAAATAGGGCAATTTGGGTTGTTTCTAAATTGAATGCAAACTGGAAGCAATGTGCAGGCAGCAAGCAGCTTGCTTGCTCCTGTGCAACCCCCAACCATAGGTTAATCTAGTTCACTATGACTTGTGAACCCAGAACTTTGGGTTGTTGGTGGGGAAACAAACCAGAGCTTTAACCATAACAAACCATGGATTAGAATACCAGATTATTTCCCCATAAACAACCTGGAGACCTGGTTTTATGTGTCTCAATGAACAACTGAGCATTCCTTGGCTGTTTCCTAAAATGGCTACAAATGTACAGGCGCTGAGCAGGTGTTGCCGGGGCTGTTGATCCTGTGCAGCTTCAAGAAGCCAAGCCTTACTGTTATCATTGTTGTTGTTGTTGCAAGTGTAACATATTACTGTAATGCGTGAGCTGGAAGAAGTTGTACACCAAGCTGGTTGTACTTGTCTCCACTTTTCTGACAGGGAATTTAAAGACCGTACCACTAAAATCCAGGTAATAAATAGGAAATGCAGGAATACAAGTCAACAAAAAAAGAGTCAACAACACTTAGGGAAACAGAATTAGTTCTATTTAGAATGTTTATTTTACATGACAATACACAAAAAAGTATTTTTGAACTCTCCGAGAGAAAAGTTTCCTCTCCTCTCTCTTTTATTTTTAAGCAGCAATTTTAACAAACAACACACTACATTCCAGGAATGCTACAGCAACAAGATACAGCTTCATAAAGGTTAACTGATATACACCATTCAGGGAATGTACATCTCACAAACAAAATGGTTGGCACTCACACATACCCACAATGGTTAATGTTACAAAGTGAGCATCGCTAGAAGCATCACTTAACTGGAAAAATGTCAAGGTGTCCGACAACCAAATTCTTTTTGATATAGGCAAATAAATAGTTAACCTAAAATGTGGAGGGAGAAAATTTAGCCACACAGTTAATGGAGATTAGAACTTTTTCCTTTTCTAAGTTGTTGCTGATGAAGAAACCACACCAAGAAAAGAGAAACTAAGAAGAGCAGCTCTTTAAAAATGGCAAGTCGTTATGAGTCCCCAAAGCATGACAACACCATGAGACAAAACCGGGAATGCCATGAGCAGGGACACCTGGAGTAATAACGAGGGAGCTTGTCTGGACCATATGCCAAGGGAGCTCCCATCTTCCTAGCACTTATTTGGACATCAAGCACTAACCAACCAACTGTGAGGACTGAAAAACATGTCTGGGAAGCAGGAAAGGAGAAGGGGGAAAGAGGACTGAATGATGCTAGTGCTGTTACCATGATGACTGATCTAATATATGGTCCAGAGAAGCTCAATGAAGTCACTGGAAGGGCTGGTGAGTAAACTATTTTTAAAAAGATTTAAGCTTTAAATCTTTCCAGAAGAGTGAGCAATGTTAGAACAGCTTCAAAACATTCCCATCCAAAACAATATTCAGCAATAAACACCGTCACACAAAAATGCAAACACACACAGGAAGCTACATTTCTGCATGCCAAAAACCCACAAAAAGGGGGACACTCGCTGAACGTACTCTTTGCACTAAATGGATGTTCCTCAAAGATACGATTAGCCTCAGAATTGTCCAGACTTTTAAGGTTAAATAACTAACCAGGGGTTACTGCCCTTTCGCCTTCACTCAGTGTTTGTTCCTGTGATCGGAAGCGCTTTGCTTCAGACAAGAGAAACGCTGCTCTGTTTCAGGTCAGACTCTGTTGTGTGCATGGATACCCTTAGCCATGCCCAAAGGTGCCCTCTGAAATGACCGCCTTCATCACAGTCAGATCATGAAACAAAGACCATTTTGCCAACTTCAAGCTACTTTGAATCACAGTAGCTAAATTATATTGAAAACATAGGTCAATGCTTCAATTGCCAGGGATTCTGGTTTATGTACCCTGTGGCTGCCCATTTGACTTTAAATATGGTTTTGATTTTAAATGAGAAACAGAATTAACTGCACTTCCAGTTGAAATCAACCAAACCAGGAGAGGTTGAATGGCTCAACAAGCCAGGGCCTGCTAGCTTCCTATCTGTACTTCTGCTGCAGAATTAAGAACAAGAGTAGGAGATGAGATGCAGGCCTTTTGAAGTGCATGTAGAAATATGTTGTTGAGGTGGCGGAGTTTCTAGAGGCATGTGCTGAGCATTTACAATTTCTGCCAAGATAGTGCTCCGGGGGGGAAAAATGGTCAGCAGAAACCAGCAGCAGTGTTGGATCCCTGGTACCTGTGGGGTCACAAAACCACCTTCCTAGCCTTAGTTTCGTACACCTTTAAAAATGCAATTGGCCTTTGAATCACAGCAATGATGCAATAATGATTTAAAATGAGTAAAGATTCTTGGTTGTGGCAGGGAGGGGAGACATTCTCAAAAAGGCACAGAACCTGCCATAAGATGCCTGGTCAGAGCAAGATGGAGATTGGTGTGGATAAGTCCACCTGTCGGTTTCTGACATTTGTGTTCATCACTGGGTAGAGATGCAGGAGGGAGGGAGAGGGAGGGAGAGAGCAGAGTAACACCGAGAAATGGGCTTATCAGGAGGAAACATGACCTTTGGAGACATAAAAAATGCATGGGGCTTTAGTCTCAATGAAGCTGTAACCCAGCAATGCATTTCAATTCAAGATTTCCTGCTGTGCTTCCAAGGAAACACTCTCTCCTCTTCAGGGTGAATTTCCAGCTGTGTTGGTTGCATGATCTACACAGCACATGTTCAGAGGGACCAGGGACCAATAAGGGGAAGGGTAGACAAACAGTATCAGGCAAACCCTCCACTAATGTAAGGGAGCTAGAATTAAACAGTCCATTAGGCAATAAATAAATGCTGCCTTGGCTTAGCATCTTAGAATGAAAAAGTCTGGAAATGGTTACACTGTGCCTATCCAACTGCAATAAGGAAAAAGAACAGGTTTGTTTAATGGCATTTGTGCACTGCCTATAATACTAAGTTCTCTGAGTAGCTTAAAATCCTTGAGTGATGTTTCCTTTCGAGAAATCTCTTGAAACAGGGAGTCTACAATCGAGCTGTGAGAGTGGAGAAGTTAGATTCCCAGAAAAGTTTGAGCCAGGAATCAATCCCCTAACATGAGTAAAGATGCACTCTAAGTATGTTTTGTTGGCTAAAATAAAATCTGGGTATGAGATACAATAACAGAAGCATCACTTTTTCCTGCAAAATCCCTGAAAGGCAATTCTGGAGCTGAACATCGACTAAGGAGACATAATCTCTTTCCTGACCTTCCTGACAACAGATAACAATGGCCCAGATACTTTAGGTGCCAGCTGTCCCTTTCCCTTAAAACAGCTCTCTGCTGTACAAGTAATTAACAGGAAACCTACTCCGCCCCCAAAAGGCGGGGAGTTTAACAACTGGGATAACAGGGATCGTGGCATGGTTGTTACTAGGGAGGCTGCACAAAGGAACTGCATGAAGGGCTGATTCCAAGCATACCAGCCGCACAGATGTGATCTCAGCACGCGAATTCGACATGTGCCCCTGTCAACGAGGGGGGATATGCTGCAAACAGCTGTGCAGAGCACTGCTCAGCTACCCTGTAGGTCCTCTTTCCATATCCCAGTGCAGGATTTAAGCACCGAAGTGGTGCAGAGCCTTTCTGCAATCAAGAGGCCATAGAATGGCTCAGCACTGGCCAATAAAGAGGTCAGTGGGGAGCATCCAACAAAACATCCAAACCAAAGGGAACATTTCACTGCACTGAAACCTATTAACCTACAGACACGTTCCTACAAACCAGGCGAGGAAGGAGAAAATGCCTGTGGTTTTCCAGCATTCTGAGCGTTGCCTTCTGCAAGGACCCTGGGACCAACCTCTGCACCTTGCTTTTCTTACATCTTGGAAAATGGTTTCTGCAGATGAGCTAACTAATTCATGAAATGCAGAATCCTGGAGGAAAGGTCACTACTCTTTGGCAAAGGCTAATGGATTTTAAATGCAGGCACATTGAAGAATTTGGAAGCAGATGTACAAATGAAAGTCAGGCTGGTTGAGTCCTGGGCAGGGGACAATGCTAATCCCATTCTACAGAGAGGGAGCACCATGTTTCTTTCCCCCATTCCTTGGAAATTTCTCTCTTCATCTTCCTAGTTTCCCATCCAGCTGTTTCCACCTCTTCTGCTCAGGCCTCCTCCACACATCCCTCCATCCTCATACCCAATTCAACAAATCTGTTCCTCCTTCACTCACGCGCACCCACACACCCCTCTAGTGCCTCCGCCCCAGTCAACTCTGCACATCACAGCCACATGCTTTGGCGCTGCCCTCATGTGACAGCTTTTGAAAATAAAATGTGTGTGCACAGTTCAGGTTCTGGTGACTGCACATCAACTAAGCAGGAGCTTTCTGTGTCACATGTGTGCTTCACAAAGGCGATTTGCCCTGTCTATAGAAAACTAGGTTTGGGGATGCATCAGCACTATTTCACAGTCCAGGCTACCCTTTGTTGTGCTCCTTTCACTCAGTCCACACAGGCTGAACGCTCCCACCCCGTCCCTGTCATGTCTAATAAGTTCTGGACCTCCTGAAAGATGGGTGTCAAGTGCAGCAAGCTGCCTGGAAGCCCGTAACACAAGGCAGGCTTCACTGGCACAAGTACCAGCAAGTGACATCTTTGTAGCGTATACATGTCAGTTACGAAAGCTTGCATCTAAGAATCAATCTGTAAGCAGTGGGATGGGAGCTCTTTGCTAACTACCCCGTGCATCCCATCTGCAGCCTCTGTCTCCCCTAAAATCTTGATCCAGAGGGTAAAGGCAGGTAAATCTGTTTGCTTCACTTTCTATAACATTTCAAGCAAAATTTCATTCTCCCTTGTTTTTCTGTCAGTTCATGATTTAGAATTTTGCACAAAAAACTGCATGCTTGTTTATATGAAAATTTGTATGCATGCTGCATGTTTCCATATATATGCACATTTTGCCAATGACTTCCCACAATATAGGCTCTTTGTGTGTGTGTGTGTGTGTGTGTGTGTGTGTATTCCTAATGTATGCAGTTTGGGGCTGGAAGCCTCAAAAAGCAAAGGAGAATCACATTCTGGGTCACATTTGGGAAATATGGATGAGGGCAGTTTGGGTAGAAATAACTGATCAATTTTCCCTCCCATCCCAACACTACGTGATTGCAACGTACAGGAGTTCACAACATGTCTTTGAAAAGCAGCAATAAACATTAAAAAATTATCCCAGTGTGTGAGAAGCAACTTTTATTGTCATCTAATGTGTGTGTAAAACAGAATAGTTACTGCCAAATTCCCTGAGCTAACATGCCTTCCATTGCTTGCCGTGTGGGTCAGTGGCAGTGAACAATCAAGCTTCAAGTTGGACCAGCTCGGTATGTTGTCAAGATCATCTAGAGAAGCCATACAGCCTAAAAGTGGAAAAACTAACATAAATATTGAGGGGAAATTTTAAAAAACCTAATTATTTCCTAATCCTGGTAATGCCTACATGATTAAAATAAGGACAGCACACATGTACAGCATTCTTATGATGTAAGTTCATGTAATTTCACCTATTTTAAAAAGGAAGGGTACCGTCTGTGCCAGAATCTTATTTTCAAACAAGATGCCTCACATGTGGAGTGCCAAAATGGGTCCACAGTTGATCACCTGGTAACAGATGGGGTCTGAAGGAATAGAGCAAAATCGTGGCTTTTAAGGAAAAAACTACCCACTTTTTTATAAATTGAAAAAAACACATTTGATCATGTACACTTGGGAGATTTTGGGTGAGCAATAGTGGCTGATCGCCATGCACAGCCATAAGAAGATGAAACATGGCTGCCATGAAAAGGAAATGCTGAGTGCTGGCTTGGCTTGCATCCTGATCAGCCTCAAATCGTGTAGTGTGTGTGTATGTGTGTGGAGCTGTGTGGAATGCAAATAATCCAAGTATTCTGTTCAATACCTGTACACAATGGCAGCAAGAGAAGGCAGAATTGCAAATCTGTTTTGGTATCAAAAATTGTGTTTATTAGATGTATATCCCTCTTTTAAAGAACTCATAGAGGCTTAATTCATTCTCCTCCTGCTGGTTTCAGTCTTATCTCCTGTGAGGTAGGTTGGGCTGAGAGTCTGGGATTTGCCCAAAGTCACCCAGTTGGCTCCATCATGGCTGAGTGGGAACTAGAACCCAGATCTCCTGAGTCCCAGACCTGTGCTCTTAACCACTACACCACTCTGGCTCCTAGTGCCAAAGGAAGATAGAAGGAAAATCCACAAGTATTTTCCCCAGTCTGCATTTTTCCAATTGCTACATAACAATTGTCATGTACTTTTCATTTATAGAACAGTTTCAATTAACAGTCTGGGTCTAAATGCACGGTGTTTCACACTGAGAGTAGATCCTGAGGCAAGAAGGCAAAAGCCGGTGAGAAGAGTGTGATGGAGACAGAACCTTCTTGAGGTTGGATCCTTAGGGCTTTGTTCTATGGCTGCAACAAAAGGGCGGTAGCCTCAAAGTGCTAATTCACTGCCACGTGGTGATGTTTCCCTTCACAAATTGTCTTCTGAAAATGCTCCTGTCCATGAAACCACTACTTGACCATATCAATGCTTCAAAAAAAAAAACCAAAAACACTTTTTCAAATCATTATTCTAAGAATTAACTAGCTTGCTACAGGGGAACACTGAGTAGCCAGTGATGTGTATTTCTTTTTTGCTTATTTTGCAGCTGTTGGTTTTATCCAGCAAACTGGCATGAGCTCTCATACTTAATATTAAAACTAGTTTTGTAACTGCCAAGAGTTAGGTAGATTATACTGGTATAACACCCCAGTTCTAGCAATGTTCATCAAATTAAAAATAACAAGGAATCTTGTAGAACCTGACTAAAAATCCTGGCATTAATTTTCATGGTTTAGAGTTCACTTCATTAGACTCAGATGTAGTAGTCAATGAAAACTGTTCCTCAATATATATGATGATGAACGTTGAAACTCAATATGGACCTCAACCAGTTATGCTGGGGAGTACAAAACTTAAGACCTTCAGTAGCATTTAATGAATCCCCAACCCAAGTGCTAAAAGTGGAGAAAGCAAACCGAAACACATTAAGGGTGTGTCATCCATTCACAGAAGATTATGAAGGAATACCTGAGAGCTACCATGAAGATCTCTGCAGAAGCTTCTAAAGCTGTAGGCTTTAGAGTGGGAAAAGCAGGAATCTGTGCTGATCCATCTGCTCACCTGCCTCTCAAATGCTTGGTGGATGCATCCTATTCCAGGCATTCATACTGCTTGGTTGCAATGGTCCCTTTCCTTCTGACCACAGCACCAAGAGCCCTCGCAGAAGATTCACACGGGCCGCTTTTCACATAAGGCGCAGGAAAAGACATGGCAGTATCGGAACAAATTCTACCTCATTATATATGAGCTAGTCCCAAAGATGATGTCCAAGACAATAAAGTTTACCATTCAACCTCCAGTGGCAAAGATTCTGTCACAGCAAGAAACATGAAGCACAAGTAGATTATTTATGAACTTGCTATTTTTGTTGCAGGAATAAAAGCCATATTTATTTCTTCCAAAGAGTCATATCGAATCAGAGCTTGGACTGTAAGGGAAATCCATAAACATGGTAGTTGGTTTGATAAAGTCATACATGTTTAGAGAGGGAGAGGGACTTTTCTTGTTGAAGATAGATGCAGACTGCAACTGTATACACACTTACCTGGAGACAAGTCTGATTGAACATTTGTTGTTCATTATCCAAAGAGCTTTGGCTCTTGGGCAATACAGAAATAAAATGATGATGATGATGATGATGATGATGATAGAGCTGAGTGGGGGTTAATTCTGAGTTGGTACATATAGGACTGCACTCTGAGCACCAGAGATAAACAGAGCCAGCAAGGAATGCTAGACTGGGTATCTGGGAGCTCCAGGTTCTCGTCCGCACTCAGCCATGGAGCTCACTGGGTGACTCTGGGCCAGCCACAGACTCTCAGCCCAGCCTACCTCATAGGGTTGTTGTTCTGAGGATAACATGGAGAGGTTTATGTAAGCCACCGTGAAAAGAAAAAAGGTGGGATAAATAAATTTGACACCTCCATCCAAGGAAGTTAAAATGAACTGAGGTTTGCATCCAGTTTAGTGGATGTAAACTAGTGAAGTTTTAAAATGGAAGTAATAAATGCTAATGAAAAATATGGTTGTTTTTCATGCACTATGCCTATTAGAAACACAGCATGCCTGAAACTATTCTGAGAGAGAACTGTATTTCTGTCAAATCATTACCCATCAAAAGGTCAATGATACATAGATAAGTTATGTTAATTATTTTCTTTTTCTAAGGCCTGACTGTCAACAACAGTTAGGTTATAATCATTAGTTAATTATAATCAGTTGTGTAAATAAAAGCCAATGCGTTTTTACAGTATCTGGTTGCTACATTCAGAATTTCAGAGGACAACATACATATAAGAGGCAAGCCAGACAGAAATGGGGTTTTGAATGCACTTTATTAGCTTGTTTTATTTACTCTTGCATTAAAATGTTGATTTTATGATAAATTAAGATAAAGAAAATAAAAATTGTTCACACACACACACACACACACACACACACACACACACGAGGTAGAACTAAACTCTGGCTTCCTTTTCTTTCTTTTTTTTAACCTTACACAGTTCTCTTGCCTGGGGCAAAAATCTTCTGCTGAAACATGCCTGAGTAAAGGCTGCAAGTTTATGTGACTTTGTACACACATTTGACAGGAGAATGTCACTGCAACAACAGCCTGGCTATTATGCTCATATGACCAGATTTTTGTTCAGCCACAGGCTGAAGGAGGATGAAACATGAACTTTTTTTGAAGTCATGGCTGAACTTTTGAGGAGCAGCATTTGTGAAATAATTTTATCTCCACAGAATGACATAGAAAGGTCACCACAGGATGACTTTTTCTTGTAAATATCATGTTAGAGATTCCCTTCAGTAGCATGTGTTAAGCAAGAATTTGTTAGGGTGTTAAATTGTGGGCTATAAATTACAGCTATGAATTCTCAATCACATTCTCCATTTTTGACTTAAAAGTCAAAATTCAACAAGGAGCAGCATATTTGTCTGTTAAATTTTCTTTGAATCATTTGCTACAAGGAGCAGCATATTTGTCTGTTAAATTTCTTTGAATCATCTGCTAACGAGCTTCCTAAACCCTGTTGAACTACAAAGCTGCCACTGTTTACTGCTGACACAGTTTGTTAAAACATATCCCCATTCAGGGAATGAGTTACAGCACTCAAGAGTTACTTGCTGCTCAGTGTAGAATCACTAAGACATTTGTTTTCTCTTAACACACTTGGACCTTTCTGACCATGAGTACAAAAGTAGAACCACAATTTTGTAGAGAGACAAAAATGTGGCATCCATAATTTCAGTGCATGATTATGGTTAGAACAGAGACTGTAATTACACTGGTGACTGCAAATATGCTGTCGGGCATTAGTTGTTCTTCCAAATTAACAAACAAAAGGTGTGACCTCATGTTTAAGTTAACATCTGTACACAGACCATTATAAGCAGATGTATTTACAGCGTCGGTGTTGGAGCAATCAGTGTTGGAGTAATGCAAGACTCCTAAAGCAAGTCTGAGGAATCACCACTTAAAGCATCAGTGTCAAACCCAAATGGGCTGGAGAGCCAAATTCTCCTTCTAGAGATCCAAGGACTACTTCCGTGTATTTCTCTGAAAAGGCTGATTCCACAGTGAACACGGGTCCCCCAGCCGTCCTTCCAAATGATCACTACCACTGCAGAAGGCTCATCACCACAGGAAGGAAGAGTTCCAGCCTCCTGCACCAAGCAATGCCTCAAGGGCCTGCCCCTGGTTTATCTGTCTGCCAACATACAACTGGGGGCTGTTCACCTGCAGGCAATTCCTGTTACACACACTAAAAAAACCACACTGGAGTGTGGAGGTGGGGGGAGGAGGAGAAGAGGAACTGGAAAGCGACAAAAATAAATGCAACGAGAAGTCCTGCTGGAGATGCAGGCAAGTTCTGGCTGCAGAGGCAACCAATGTCACTTGCTTGGTACACAAATGCCTTGGCAAGCCTTGGCCACCACTGCCAAGCCAGTCTCTTCCCCCTACAGGGGGCATCCCTGAAAGGGCTGTGGAACGAGGGAGGGATGCTATGGCCCACACTGGAGACTGCAATGGCCTAGCTGAATCCCTGGACCTTATGTCTGAAAGCCCTAATAAGTGGCCAGGTTGGACATACCCTTTGGGAGCTAGAGAGCACCTTCCTTAGAGAATACTATCTACACCACAAATTTAAATTTTTCACAGCTTCCTCATTTGGAGCCTAGTGAACTGTGGTCCCATGAGAAGCAGGAACACCAGCTGAGCATTCACTCACTACTATTTTAAATATTAAATCACACTCACATAAATGGTTTTTATGTCTGCAGCATAGGTATGTTAGCACTGAGCATTTCAAGTGTTAGACAGCACACAGGCCTGGAAAGTAAGAATACCATGATTTAGAAACATGCGGGCTTAGGAATATTTCTGTTTATGCCAAAAAAGGAGTGCTTTTTTCCCACTACCAGCAGCAGTGCTGATGCACATTCTCAGAAGGAAACTTGCTTGGTAAAACAAGCAGCAGGATTACTGTTTGGAACATATTTTAGGCACAGATGATTGTCTTTCTACCAGTCTTTCTCCATAAATGCTAGCCTGCATTTGGGCAAAGGTTCACTTGGAATTGAATTCATCTGAATTTCCCCTGAATAAAGCTTCCAACAATAAATCTCACACATACCAGTACAGATTATAGTTTGTGTCCCATTTCATTTCTTCTTTGCTGACAAACCTTTTCTAAAGGATCTCTTGCAAGGGATTGCTTAAAATGAGGTCTCAGCTGCTCTTCGCTTTTTAAAGTGCATAGAGTAACCCTGAAGATTGTGCTTCTCAAAACACCAAAACATTGCAGGATTTCTGTTTCAGAAATACCAAAACGCATCATTGCTGATGCTCCTGGCTTTGGTAGAGAATCAGTGACTTTCTAGTGTGCTCAAATGTGTCAGCGTATTTGGTGGCGGCAGCAGTGAGTCCTTAAGGCCTTCCTTTGAGATGGCTTTTGGCCATTTGGATGGGAGAGACAGCGCAAACATGTTTTAAACACCGATTAGCTACTAAGGTGAACAAGGACTTACAGTGATGAAAAAGCAGCATGCAATGAAACAAATTAAATTATTAAATATAGCCCCTATTATAAACTAGTCCTAGCAATTTGTCTCAATTATTCTGTGAGTCACCCCAATCAGCCATCTAAAAGCAGAGACTTTTCAAACATTTGATTTCAGGGCAAGGAGGGAAATTGCACTATGATCCCCCTCATTATTTTGGCCTTATTTACATATCACAGGAAAAAAACAAATGCCAATTAAAAATAACAACTCTCCTTGCTGTTCAACAGGACCAAAAGTGACGTGCACATTAAAAGATATTGAAAAGAACACGGAGGGCAGTTGCAAATACAGACATCATCTGTGAATAAAATTCTTTTCAATGGACCAGGATACAAGCATCACTTCAAGCAACAGAGGCACAACAACAAGCAAATGAAGCCCACAGTGCAAGGAAAATACCTCTAGAAACATGTTGTCTTCAGCATTTGTATTGTGCCCCCAGCTCATAGAACAAAAACATTTTGCAAAACTTTAAGGCCAGAATGGGGAGTATGTGGCCCTCCGGATGTTGCTGGACTGCAGCTCCCATCATCCCTTCCTACAGGCTATGCTCACTATTGCTAAGGGAGTCACAGTCCAACAGCATCTAGAGAGTCGTCCATTTTCCCACCCCTGCTTTAAGAGAGTTTCAGCTGGAAATTCAAGCAGCAACGGTTAAATTGGTACGCTGCTGCAGTTACATGGGTGCCTGAACCATCCCTTCAGAGCTTGTTGTGTCATGCAAAGGTGGGTTGTAGTGAGATTAATAAATTACCACAACCCTAAATAGCTCATGGGTTCCAGGCAGTTTGATAACCAAACCAACAATTCAACCTCACCAAGTTCACACAGCAAGCTATGAAACAGTTAATTTCTGGAACAGGTGTCCAAATTTAGGCTACCATATGAGTTTATTTGATCAGGCATACCAGGTCACAACTATGTCAGCACCTAAGCAGCAGGTAACTAATCTGACCAGATTAAGTAAAACTGGGCCAAAGACAGTTGAATGGGTTTTGCACTATCCTAGAGGGGGAAATTAGCCATGGTGACTTGCTTCCTCCTCACACCCTGCCAGAGATTTGCATAATCACCCATGGTCACAGAGGCTATCACAAGAAATTGGTCAGGATGGCTTACCGCAGAGGTTATCATGGGCTGTTGTAGGGTTCTACAAGCCACCCTGACTGGGTTCACATGACACAACAATCTGTACTGTCAAGGGTATTTATGCAAATCCCCTAGCATGTGACTGGCATACAACTGGCCCATTTTGCATAACCATGGAAGGACAATAAATTCCCAGGGCTTATTTCTTATCTGTGATCATACAAACCAGGCCAGTAAAACAAAAGGCAAATTACTAACATTAACATTAGTTCTTTGACGTTTCTAGCAAAGCTGTTTCTAAGCAACTTCTGAAAAGAACAAAGGAAAACTAGGCCTCACTTTTGAGGGAAAATATATACACACAGTTGTCCTGGTGGAAGTTACAGTCACATAAACCACCCCCAGCTGCCGGTTTTTGCCTCAATAAGAAAACTAGCTGGCCTCTATAAAAACAAAACAAAATGGGTAACCTAGCTGCCTGATCTAACTGATTCTTTTGACTCTGGTGCACCTGAACCTCAAATGTGCAGGATTTTTCCAGTGCTTTCAGCTAAGCTATGTCTTCATCTGGCATTCTGCAGTTTTAACAGCCAAAACAAAGATAAACTTTTCCCAAAAGCGCCTTTGGATTATCTGTGGTCCCAAAGGGGCACAGGAAAGGAATATACATCCTCTGGGCACTGATCAAAAAAGCACAGACACCGAAAACCCCAGGTGGAACAGCAGCATTACCAGCACCAGCCAGGCTGATTGAAAGGAATGTATTACTGAGTTGGTTTTCTCTTTTTATCCAGCACTAAAAACAAAAACAGACTGATCCCAAAATTATTCAGTTTCCCCTTGACTGCAATGGCTCACAAATAGTTCGTGACACTGGATAGGACTGTTTCCACAGCCAAGCTCCTTAGTGGTCAGGTGCACAACTGCAGGGAGTGCATTTTGCTGTGTACACCCTTTTAGGAAGCTAGTCCCTTTCATAAAATCAAAATGTAAGCTGCACCTTTCCCTTTTCCCCCTCCTTCAATTTCCGGAAAGTCCTGCTAATCTGGGGGGAGAGATGATTAGCCGGCCTATCGAAAACCAAACATGTTGACTTCAGTAATTACCTGCCTTCTCAATGGATAAACTGACCTCCCTTTTAATGGGTACCAGTCCCGCAGCTTCCTCAGAGGCCTGGTACCAAGAGTGGGGACAGTGGAGAAAAGTCCTGTTCTTTTGCTTCTTCCTGATGTGTTGAGAATTCAGAGGATACGGGAGGCTCACTTTCCCCTATCCACAAGAGTGCTAGCCAGCGTCTTTGAGACTGGTAATTAAAAAGGAGGCCTGACTTGGGGATCCTCCCTGGGGTAATGGAGGGGGCCATCTTGATGGGAGGAAAAATAATAGGAGACAACACTCATTCCCACTGGGACTGCTTCGACCGTTTGTGCCATTGCTCTGACACCACGATGACAAAGAGGATACGACGGATTCCAGTTGGGAAGGGAAAGGTGTGAGGGGTTAATCCCGGCGCCTCGGAAGCATATCTAGGATGAATTCAGCAATGCCGATGAAATAGACAACTTGTGCAATACCAAAGAGCGGGGCTATGACCAGAGCTCTGCAATACGCCCCCTTAAAAAAGGCCGTGGGACCTTCATTCCGCCAGATCTTCCTGAAAAGGTACAGAAAGAAAGACAAATAACACTGTGTGTGTTACAACTTCCATGCCAGCTTTGTCAACTGGAGCACCCATTGCCCAACATGTTTCTTGGCAGACCATAATTGCTAGCAACTGACCGTATTACCTCAGTGCAATGCCCTACAGGCAAGAAAATGCATATCCACACGATGGCTGAGTCAGAAAAGCAGTGACTTATTAGTGACTTATTTATAGAGAAAAAGGTGGCATGGGGCAACTTACCCGTCATGAAAGTGCTCTGCCCCCATCAGAGAACCTGGGGTGTGCTCTATTTGTCCTTACAAGCTCATAGTAATGGTAGCAAAGGAGAGATCAGGACACTCAGCCCCCAGTTTCCAAAATGGGGTGCTAAACCAGATGAAAGGCCTATTTTCATGCCACACCAAATGGCTCTTTTGCTGAGAATTGGCCAAATTGCCCAATGACCACTTTGCCAAACATAAACCAGTGCAACTGAATGTTTCAGCTGTTTAGGGCTGCACTATAATCTGGATGTCCATAACCCTGTGAATTGGGAGGACTACAGGCATCCTATACAAAACAGGAGGAGTGCAAAAGTGCTTCTCCCGCCCTACAAAACACTTAGGCAGCCAAGTGCCTCGGAGAACAAGGGCTGGAGGCTGAAGAGCTGCTGGGACCCTTTGAATCACAGTGGCAGCTGCCCCCTCCTCTCCCAGCCACCCGCCCCCACTACTGCCCTTAAGCCCTGTCACAAGAGCAACCCCAAAGACAGAGCCCGCACAGTCTTTTCTCTGCCAGTTTGCGGGGCAGGGAGCTGTAGAACCAGCTACAAGGTCGCATCGCTCTCAGATCTTACAGCTGAGTCTCCAGAACACCCCATGACAGTCCAGACCGCACCGACCAACCATAGGATTGCACTGTCCGTGGTTTTAAATTGTGAATGCTAGAGATGTGTATATCCTGGGTATATCATGTTTTCCTTATTTTGCACTGATGTGCACATTTTGTGAATAAACGAAGGGACTCCAGAAAGTCTTGGTGATGTGCTATGGGAAAGGAAAGGAAAGCGGAAGGGGCTCATGCCTGGTTATGACCCAACACTGAGCAGAGGATGGCTCTCCAGGCCTGCCAGCAGGGAGTACTCCGCACGGTGCTGAACATGGGACTGGGTGCATGAAGGAGGCTCACTGTAGGGTCAGAAGCGACCAGTGGCCTCACCAGGGGTTCCGCTACTGATGAACAGGATTTGATTTAAGTTGTTCTGAATAATTCTAGGAGAAAATCAAATAGCACCCTCCTGCACAAATAAAAATTGGGTTTTGAGCTGCATATATCTGTAACACTGTCACTTAGATAGCCACCCTCTGTGTAATTATTTACGAGTGCCACTCTTGGGATGAAGCCCAGGCTTTACCTACACTGTTTACATCACGGAGTCCATTTACCTGGCGCAGTCTATTATCCCTGAGTATGTGTCTTCATTGATTCCCCTCTGCAATGACTGCAGCCTCGTCTTGATTACTGAAGGGGAAAAGGCAGAGTTTGTTACAATCTGTGATCTGGTCTGTATCCACCTGATATCTCCAGGCTTCCTTTAGCTTCTGTTAAGATGCATGCAAGAATCCAACGAAGGCAGTGCTGAAAGAGCTTTTATGACCTCCTGTTTACATCTCTCCCTCCATGAACAGATTATAAGTTTTCATCACTGCAGCGTGCTTTTGCTGATCACAACCACTATTCCTGCCGCTCCCCCCACCTTAAAAAATGGCACTGCCTCCCTACAACATCCCACTTCGACTGCATGCCCCTCAGCCTTTGAGTTGATCGCATACAAACCTTGTAGTGCATCCCTGGTATGTCTGACCCAAGTCTGCGCCTGATGGGAGCTATCAGCTAAGGACAGGGGTAATTCTCCCTCTTGAAAGGCGTGCCAGCTGAGGGCCCCTCACCAAGGGGAACCCCTGCCTTCTCAACAGGCCAGGGGCCTGGTTGATCAGGAGAGCTACAGATGCCTCCTCGTCCCCTTCCCCAGCACGGTCAGCCTGAGATACCTTGCCTCTGACGAATCCATGCCCAGCTTTGGGGTGGGAGGAGAAGGGAGAAACGAGCCACATGGGTGAGGCCTTGGCCAGGAGCCAGAGAAGGCAACCAGCCAGGGATCCTGTCCACGCACACAAGCAATCCCTTTTTGAGGGGGCTGCCTGCTTAGGGGTGGAGGGGGATGGCTCTTGCGTGTGCTGCAGGGTCCCCCCAGGGCATGTGGAGCCCTTTGACTGGCAAGTGAGTGGGGCTGCTTCCTGTTCATGGTGCTCAGGATGCTCCGTCCAAGCTGCCAGCAAAAAAGGAGAGCAGAGGTGTGCAAGCCGCCCTTAGGAACAGAAGTCTCAGGGGCCCAGGAGGAAGCTGCATGGCAGTTCAAAGTGGCCTGCATTAAGGGTTTTTCTGGCGTTGTTGCCTTGGGTGTCTCTTTGCACCACGCTTCCCAATTAGAAAAAGACAGAATAAATTGTGCTAATATATGGAGTTATGCTCAGTTTACCATGAATGCAGAATTCTGGATTTCCTGACACAGGCTCTGGATTTCTTGGGTTCGGAATTTGCATCTGTTCACTGTTTTAGCATCCACTTGAATGAACCCTCCCTCCTCTCTCCTCAAATTCCTTCTTCTTGGGATAAGCTTGCCCAGCATCTCACTCACTTATCCAAAAATTGTTTTTATTTGCTCTCCAAGTTCACGCCAACTGGCTTGTCCTCCCTTTCTGCCCAATCCTCACCTGCTTCAGATCCCTCCCCATGACCTGTTTCTTGAACAAAGCCTCTATACACCATTCCCATCTCACCATCACCACTTCAGTCACCCCACTGCTAATTCCCTCCCACGTCACCCACATTATGCTGCATTCAGCATCGCATTTTATATCAGGAACAAACCCCATGCTTGAGGGCTCTGTCTCCTCCCTGTCCCTCCCCTCCCCATAGGCTCAGCTGAATGGATAACTTCTCAGTTTGATCACACTGGTTCACACAATCATGGGCGGAGAAAAGAAGCCACAGTGGCCAGTTGCGTCTTGGGCAATTTGCCTTGTTATCCCCATGGCTTCTCGTGTTGTCCAAACCCAGCAAGGTGTGCAGCACGGCTAGCTACAAAACCCACCCTCAGAATCAAGCCACCCCTGCTGCCTACCTTGCTATCTTTGGATAACACAGGACAGCGGTGGCAAACCCATGGCATGTATGCCTCCGCGGGCACGCAGAGCCCTCTCTGTTGGCACACAAGCCAAGGTGCCCCAGCATCGCCCCAGCAGCTGAGCACTGGATAACAGTGCACACAGGGGCCATGCGCATCCTCGGAAAGGCGTGGCGGCGCCAGGCCATGATGTCACGCGCCATGACTCATTAGCCGCGACTCATCCGAGCTTTCACACGGCCGGTCAGTGTGCTGCCAAGGATATATATATATTTGCTTGGATGGGCTGTGAGTTTTAATACATTCAGTTTTTTTAACACAAGATTTTAGCTTTGAGTTTTCTTATGAAAAATTGAAATTTAATACCTAAGATTTAGCAAAGAGATGCTCTAATTAAGAGACTGAGATTCTTTTAATGTTGTGCTGTCCCCCTGGCATATTTGAATCTGCAGCATCATATTTAGTTATTTTTTCTGAACTAAAATCTCAACATTCAGGTTTTGCTGCAGTGTTGGCACTTTGCGATACATAAGTGGGTTTTGGGTTGCAGTTTGGGCACTTGGTCTCTAAAAGGTTCGCCATCGCTGACATGGGACATGGCACGCCACGGGGGCAGTAAGACAACCTGCCTGATGCATAACTGGCGTGCAGGGGGCTGGGAAAAGAAGCCACTGTGGACCAAGCAAACCCAGCCATAATGTCCAAGCTGACAAACTATGGCTGAAGCAAACTCTCCAGGGCAGAATCGCTCCAGGCTCAAGCAGAAGGGCAAACTGGGAAATGAGCTGTGAAGTCAAACCTTTTAGGGCAGATGGGGGAGAAGTGAGTTCTGGAGCACTGGCCAGGGCCAGGAGGATTGGAAATATAACTCTGCATGCAAGCACTTTGAGCCCTCCCTCCCTCCCTCATTCTCCCCGCCCCCCCATTACTCCCCACCCTACAAAAAAGGTCTAGCCTGTTCACCCTCCAGGCAGAGACAGCATCCCTTCTGGGTTCTGTATAGTACCCATTGTTGCATCAGAGAGCAGTTCTAGTGCTGGGGTTCCCCTTTCTGCAAGGGAAGCTTGTCTTTACTCTGTTTTTTCCAATTCTCCTTTGCCAAAGCTGCAGGCCTGTCAGCTAGAACAATCTGGGCAGCACCTTCCTTCCCTCACCATGGTGCTGGATGGTCTGCAACTCAGTTCGTGTGTTTGTTATTCTTTCCCCTGCACGAGAGGTCGGACTGCCTCCTCCAGTGACACCCTGGGTACTTCCAGATGGTGGGCTGCTAGTCGCACGGCACTTCTACTCTGTCTTCTCTTACTTAACAGGTTTCCCACAGTAAGAAAAAAGACAGACAGAAGTGAGAAAATGTGGGAGGGCAATGGGTAGAAGATGCTGCCATCTGGAGCCCCTGCAAAATGAGGCAGGAAGATGGCACCACAAAAACCCCCACCTGCGAGTCAGCCAGGCTTCATAATAAACCCAGATGCAGACACACCTGAGGCAGGGCCTCTGGTTCTCGCTCAGGGCCTTGTCAACGATCCTGATGAGCGGCCCACGTCTCCCACGCAGCGCCCTGGCTGAACGCCACTGCAGTACGTACCGTCACAAGGATTGACTGCTACGGCAGCCGTGCTGCCTGCCGCACACCCCGAGAGGAAGGACACGTAGAACGGGGCCTTTTCGCTGTGGTTTTTCTGTCCCAGTTTGTTCAGGTTTGCAAACAATGGAAAATAAACGATGGAAAATGGCACGTCCCTGAAAAAGAAGCCCAAATGAATGAGGGATGGGGGAAAGCCATTTGTTCTCGTCTTTTAATGGCACCAGTTGCTTCTACTACCCCTTATCGCTTGTAAATGACAGCTACTTCTGTCATTTGCTCCCTCACGGAACAAAAACATTTTGCAAAACTTTAAGGCCAGAATGTTGCTGGACTGCAGCTCCCATCATCCCGGGTGTTGCTGGACTGCAGCTCCCATCATCCCTTCCTACAGGCTATGCTCACTATAGCTAAGGGAGTCACAGTCCAACAGCATCTAGGGAGTCGTCCATTTTCCCACCCCTGCTTTAAGGGAGTTTCAGCTGGAAATTCAAGCAGCAACGGTTAAATTGGTACGCTGCTGCAGTTACATGGGCGCCTGAACCATCCCTTCAGAGCTTGTTGTGTCATGCAAAGGTGGGTTGTTAGTGAGGTTAATAAATTACCACAACCCTAAATAGCTCATGGGTTTCAGGCAGTTTGGTAACCTAACCAACAATTCACCCTTCCCAAGTTCACACAGCAAGCTATGAGACAGAGTTAATTTCTGGAACAGGTGCCCTACAGGTGACTCACACAGCATTATTCCTCTCCATTTAATAACCACCCAGTGAAGTGGGTCAGGCTGAGAGTCTGTGACAGGCCAAAAGTCACAAAGTGGGCTTCATGGCTGAGAGAGACTCTCCCGAGTCCCAGTCCAAAGCTTTTAATCATGGCACCAGACTGGCTCACTTTTAATACCATGAAATTCTAGCACTGTTAATCAGTATCACTTTGGCATCACCATCTGAATCAGCACCCAAGTAAAAGCAATTTGTCTTATTCATAGCCATCCTTTCTCACTTTCCTGCCCTTCCTCTCCTCTCTTAGCTATCTTCTCTACTTCAAATGAATTTGGCAAACTTCTTGGGGTCGGAATCTGTTTCTTAGTGCTCCTTTTTTTGCAATGCTCTGCAAAGCACCATGTAGATCCATGAAACTATATTAGTAACAATCAAAGCAACAAACATGATCAAACAGAGTTCTTCTGAGCCACAGGGCAATACTAATTTATTTTATTAGAGGAAAAGCAACACACACAAACCAGATTCTTGTGCTTCATTTGGATTTTAAACTATGCTCTCCAGAGGGCCAAGAAATGTATACTACCTCAGCAACGTAGCTCCAAGTCCCTTATAGAGTCCCGCAATGCCTTTGCTCCGAAGCAGTTCCCTTGTAATCTGCATAGCCGTTGTCCGTGTCGCAAGGACCGACTCAGCCGCCCCTGCACTGGTGGAAGGGTTTAACTGTGCCTGTGCAGCCATTAGCTTCTTCTGGGCAGCTGCGGAGGGATCGAGAGAGCATCATCACCCACCGCACCAACCCAAAGTCCGCCACACTGATTTGACCAGCGAGCAAGCACGGTGCCTTGTTCCGGATGCCAAGCTCAACATGGCAGCCATAAAAGCAAGGGACAGTGCCTTGCCTCAGGAGAGGTATGCCCCCCTCTGATCCATATTTTGCCACCCAAAATAGGTCTTATCCCCTGAAGTTTTACTGCAGCAATTTAGATTCTTTAAGTAAAATATTTATGGAGCCACCCCACTCTAATAATTGTTTACACACCTCACAGATGCCATTTATATTCAGTGTGCAAGCGATACTTAATCTGTCGTGGCACATGCAAAACTCCATCTATTTGCACAAAATGCCATCTACTTGCATGTGCGGCTATGGCTGAGAGCCAAATGGGTGTAATGGTGACAGGCCTGTTTGTTTAAACCTGGGCCTATCTCCATCACATACACAGCAGGGTGATAAAATTTGAATTTTAGAGCAAAAGGGACCTGAACCTTCCCCATATTCCTCAGTCTGCCCCCACCAGTCCCAGCAGTCACTTCCCAAACGGAACTGGTGGGGAAACTGTGCTTTGGAGAGGCAAGGAACAGGTCTCTGCTCCCCTCCACTGTGGCAATGAGACCCCAGCCTCATATTTCTGTGTGATTAAAGAATATACAAGTTGAAACACGTGAGCCTCTTACCGTCATGCTCAGCTTGGCCCTGATGCCTGTGCCACTCATTTTATTCCCCTCTTATTGCGGGCAAGAGACGCTTGTGCCAGAGTTTCCGGCACAAGAAGCATGCTATACCGAACGCCACAATTTCTGTTCCCTGAGAGATTGAGGCTTAGTCAGCCATCATGCAGGAAAACCTATGTCAGAGATGAGAGCTGTGCCCAAACATTTTGACTCTTCCTTTTATGTTTTAAATGGAGCATTTGGCTTTCAAGCTCTGTGGTACAGTTCAGAGGAAACTCTCCAGGGAAGCTGCTGGCCAAGCAGGGGCTGTGGTCTCGGGAAAAGTGTTTGAAGCAGGCTGAAGGAGGGCCGTACCAGGACTGGGCAGATATTTTGGCCTATAATTCCCATCAACCCTTTCAGCATAGCCAATGGCAGGGGATAATGGGAGTGGTAGGCCAAAATGTTATGAGTGCTACAAGTTACCCCAGCCTGGTTGATATAATGGGAAGGCAGGTCTTCAGCAAAGTACAGTAGATTTTTTTTTATAAAATTGTATGGAAATGGTACCTAACTCTGGTGAAGCTGAATTGCATAGATAACAAATATTCAAATTTATGCTGGAGATGGGGTGGTGAAGTGGGTACTTACTTTCATATGTGGTAGGAATGTGAATGCATAATGAAGTTTTGGAATGAGGTTTTAAAGAGAGTAGCAAAATATTAAGTTTAAATATAGAAATATGCCCTGATATCACATTACTTTCAATATTTAATGAGAAACAACTGAGCTGGAATAATAAGGAATTAATAACAAATTTAATAACTGCTGTGAAATCAATTATAGCTAAGAAATAGAAAGTAAAATATGTTTTCCAATTGTGTGATTGGTATAAAGGTTTAGACTATAGCTACTGAGGATAAATTGGCTTGCAATACTAAAGTGAGAAAAGGGCATGTGAAGAAAAATAAGATTAATGAGATTTGGGGTGCATTAATTGAGTATGGGTTAAACAAGGGGAAGGGTCTGAACCATCAAAAGAATCACTGCAATTTGGAAGGGGAAAATATCCTGAAAGAGTGTTTGAATGATTTTTTGCTATCATTCTAACATGTATCCTATGATCCTGGTGGTGGGGGGCACAGTATTCTTAAGAAATGTTTTAATTGCATGTTTAATTTTAGATGTTTCTATTTTCAATGAAAAAAAAATTAAGCAAAGGAAAGTGATTGGTCTTGCATCTTGCCAGACCTAGGAACCACTGTTAACCTCAGTCATCAGCTTTGAAAAGTTCTCCTCTCTCAGACATTTATTTATTTATTTTTCGATTTATATCCTGCCTTTTTCCTGCAAAGGGCTCAAGGCAGCTTACATCATTCTCCTCCTCCTCCATCTTATCCCCACAACAACCCTGTGAGGTAGGCTGCGCTGAGAGTCTGTGACTGGCCCAAAGCCACCCAGTTGGCTCCATGGCTGAGCGGGGACTAGAACCCAGATCGCCTGAGTCCCAGTCCCACGCTCTTAACCACTGCACCACACGGGCTCTCTCCTGCCCTGCTGCCTCGCCAGGACAGGTGTGTGAGCTGCCAGAGCACAGAAGCAACCACGGAAGAGTTATTCTCCTTCCTCGCTGCCCACACCCACCAACCACCCTGCTCTCCGGGCCAAGGCTTTCTTCCTATTTGTACCCCAATGTCCTCCCTGACAATCAGCGGCTAGAAGCAATAAGAGTGACAGTGTCACTACGGCAACTGTGCCATCTTAGGTCACAAGCCAGCTGTGCCCCAGGCTTTTGCCAGCCCTAATCCCAGTGACAGATTTGCAGTTCTTGCAAAGATGCTTATAGTTCTAGGTCAGACTGGAATATTGCACCCTCCAAATAATACTAAAAGTTATCTTTGAGATTGACAATCTGCAGTTCTCCTGTTTTATCAGAAGATGGAGCCCATGTCAGTCTTTGCCTTAAGAAGTACCCACAGAGACTGTTACCACCAAGACACAAAAGCTCAGCTTATGTGTTGCTGTTGGGAAGCTTTTGCAGACTTCAGATTTAACACACCTGCAACAGAAGATCTGAACTGCAACTGGAAACAGGAGAAACAAAGAGGGGCAAAGGGACAGATGAAAGCACAAGGGGATTTTGGAAGTCCCAGCAGTGAGCTCCAATGCCCAGACCTTGGAAGCAGCAATTTTCCTGCTGCTGCAAACTTGCACTCAGTGTTCAATACACCTCATGACCGTATGGTATTAATCTGTCCCCACCACCTTTCCCTACATGCTGCACATCAGTCAAGGGAAACAATTCAGAAGTGTGGGGATTTTGTCTTCAGACAGCCCAGAAAAAAAGGTGTTTGTATATATGTGTGGAGGAGGGATGAATGTATCACTAATACAGTTTCCTGGGGTAAAATATTATTTATAATGCAAGCTAGGGGGTGATGGGGGAAGGAATAAAGAAATGTAACAGAAAAGCAGAGGTGGAAGTTAATCCCCAGTCTTCTTGCATTAGTAATCCAGTTTAATAATTCACCATGTCAACACAGCTATTATTTTACCTGCTTCCTCTCCCCAATCCAGTTAACTAGAGACAGAATTTCATTAGGATGGATTTTGTAAAGGAGGACCTCCCTCATCAGAAGAATGGAGAGAGGGAAAAACTCGTCTATAGCACAAAGCAGAGGGGTCCTTTCTGGTGGCACAACTGGCCAGGAAACACAGGAGGAAAAGCTGCTTCAGCTAAAGCTTCCTCTTGAAAAGGCTCCGCTTCCTTAGGTTTTACAGTGCTTCCTAAGTGGGTGCCTGCCAGATGAACTGAACTATACCTCCCAATGGCCTTCAACCCTACTAAGGAAGGCCATTGGCTGGGAATGATGGGAGCTGTAGTCCAACTCCCCTTTGGAGGGTGCCAAGGTTTCTATATTGCCCCTTCTTAAAATCTTATCCCAGGGTAGCTCCTGCCCATCCTTACACTGTGTCACTTCCCGCCCTCTCCCATTATTTGCGGTCTCCATCAGTGGCATTTTCTCTGCTGCACAAGCACCATGAGGAGAGAAGAGAGACAGGTGAGGTACCAATTCGGCCTGCATCCTGCAGCTGGATTTTGAGCATCTCCATGGGAGTGGTGACAATCACCTGGCAGGTCCCTGCCCCACAGCCAGCCAGCATTTCCTTCAGCAGCGTCAGCTTCTTCCTGACAAAAAGATGAGAGAGAGACACAGAGAGAGACACAAAGAACATCAGCTGAACGATGTGGCTGGGTGCATCTGCCTGCTGGGGCGAAGCCATGGCTAGGCTTGTTCCATGTGGTGAGATGCCCTGGCTCTGCCACTTATGGATCACAGAAGAGACAGTCCCTGGGGAAAGCACATCAGACAACATGGGCTAGCGCTTCTGCACTGCAGGTCTGGAGACAACCAAGGGCTTAAAGAGCCCGTGGTAGTGGGAAGATCCTCTAGAGAAACAAGCAGAGGCACTGAACGTCCAGGGTGCAGCTGTGAGTCATCCACCACCGCAAGCCAGCCGCACAAGTGGCAAATGGAAATGACCCACTCCTGCTCCACTTGTAGATTTAGCCTGTATGAGGTTCAACGTCAACTCCATCAGAGCAGAATCTACTGGGCAAAAGGAGATGGCAGGAAGGGGATTTACCATTTTACTCAAGCTCCCATTTTGGGGAGAGGGAGGGATGGAACTTGCAATGAGGGAAAATACGCTGGCTATTAATGTGAAAGGCTACAGCACTTATGCAAGGCTGCCCCCTGCAACTAGCATGCACTTCCCCCAACCCCGCACATCCTGCTTTTGAGTCACTCGCTCATTTCCCTGAATTATAATTTAGCATTATATGCAGAGCCATCATGTATTCGCCCACCATCACCACCCCTTGGGACGAAATCGGCAGCATCCACCTCTACAGCAACCAGAGAGTTACCTGGCAATCTCAAATTTGGGAGACCTGTAGTGAGTTTAGAGCAAAGCACTGCTCATTGGTTCTGCCCAGCTGCAGAATTTCAAGGCTTGCTGATGATGATGCACCACATACTGCTCACCATGGTTTAGTGTTGGGCATGAAAACTGGGCCAGTGGCTGAAAAATGTGGGATTATGTCATACAAAGCCTCACACACATTTGGTAACTCAGTATGGGCAGGTTAAACTTAACAGGCAAAGACCACAGCGAGTGCATTGTGTCCAGGATATTCAGGGGCTGAGATGCACAGCATATCCTGCTTTGCAAGAAAACCAAGCAGTTGCTTCAAGGCCGTCATTTCAGGAGATAGCAGCAGATGTTAGGTGCTAAGAATACTATCTTTCCCTTGCTCACACCTCCTCCTAAAACTCAACACTTGCACTTCAAGAGGTTTCTAAACAAATCTTGTGTTTTTTAAAATGCCAAGTTTGACACTGTACTCCAAAAGTATGAAGCATCTGGTAAATTCACAGCACTTGCTATCTGTTCGTTACATTTCTTAATGGAATTTCAGAGTGGAAAACCAAAATTATCAAACATCAGATCAAGACAAATTAATGGCCTATCATTTGAAAGTCATTTGAAATGACATCTCAGCAACTATGGTCCTTGCTATCAGTAGGTTATTAAGTATCTCATTTGTAAAAGGCTCCACAAAAATTCTTAGCACTGGATAGCAACAAAAGTGGCTTCCAGAACCAATGTCCTGCTCTCACAGGAAAGACAGAAAAGGAATGTGTTTCAAAACCTTTTATTTTTACCCGTTGTTTATGTTGACAACATATTTGTATGCACGTGACATTCAGACTGTCATAAGAAGCAACTCCAGAGCCTAGTTTACACAGACAGATCTGTATCGTTAGACCAACATAGCCTGCGCTTCTCCCTGTTAATTTGTATTGTTATGCCAACCAGAAAGATTTCCATCTACCAGAAAATCACACATTAAGCAGGGGAAATGCATATTGTATTTTGTGGGCTTCAGCTTCCCACTATGTCACAGCCCCATTATTGGCACTGCCCATTCTGAAACAATGCAATTATCTATTAATTTAGTGGCTCTTGAAGAATCTATCCCTGCATTCCACACCATTTACTTAATTCATTTTAAACATTTATACCTCAGCCTAGAAGCTCCCAAAATAACTTACAGAAGATCAATAAAATCAGGACAGTTCCCACTCACAAAATGACCCTCTGTAAAACATGAAGGGGAAAGCAATGGCAAGGGAAGAGGAAAAGGCAAACTAAAGCAACAGATCTTAATGATAAATAGTATTCCGTATGGTGATCAGCTGGGATGGGAACAGTTTAAGCACATGAGTAATATGAGCTGCCTTGAGGGCCATTTTCCTGGCAGACATACCAAATCAATCAATCAATCAATCAATCAATAATAGACACAATAACTGGATTTGCATAACATGACAATCCATGTATTGTTGGAGGGGTTATTGTAGCCATGACAAATTGTCATGTCATTCAAACCTTGTCAGTCATCATGGCTACTGCAAGCTGCTTGGCAAGAGCGCAAAAGGCTCTCTCCCACTCTTGCCAAGCTTGGCCAAGCACCTGCTAGTGTCGGCCGTTCTACAAGTGCCAGACAGCACTCTGGGGCAACTGGCACCAACTGGGTGTTCCTCACGGTGCTCATTAGCCATTTCTGGCTTATTGCAGAATTCTACCCCCACCCCCACCCCAGATCATGAAAATCAGCTTGAGAAGCAGCGTTTGCAACCCCCTTTTTGACAGCCACTGGTGTCCCCTTCAAAGCGCCCAAGCCATTTTTCTTTCCTTTGCTTTTTCATGGCAGCTGTCAAAGCATGAGCTATCAAGGAAACAAAAGGTACAAGTGGCATGAAAAACGGGTGCTGAGACTTACAGGCCCTTCACAGCAAGGTTCTCCCCTAACCCTAACCCTGCACATCACAATGGGAACGTGCCAGTTCCTGGGCTGGCTACATCTGGCCAAATGGAGATGGCAGGATCAGCATGGATGGTCCAGCAGCGGTTCTATTAAACTAGTCTGCTGTCATATGAAAACTCTTGTCATCTGGAGGATCTTTTAAGATACCCCCCATTCAACATCCTGTGTTGCCCCTGGATCAACATTCCAGCTGCTCTCTGGAAAAGAAGGCAATACCTCTACTGCACAAACCCCCAAGTTTTGCAGCACTTTGCATCAGTGTGTAATATTCATTCGGGCAATTTGCAGTGGGAAGTGAGAGCAGACTCCCCACCCCCTTGATCACACGGCACTGGAACAAAACTAGCAGCAAGAAGTGGGGCAGTTAAATTTGGTCTAAGTTGCCAGAGAGCTACATGAGAAAAACAACAACACACATTCTGCGTCCAGAAGGTACTGCTATCACAAGCAGCTGCATATCCAGGCCAACTGGGTAACAACTCGCACCAAATGTAGAGCTGCCAATGAGGTGGTGCATCGTGAAGTGACTTCTTCACATCCAAACACAACACATTTGAAGCACAGAATCTGTGAACTGTCAACACCCTCTGCCCTGTGGGAAGAGGCAGGTAGCAGAAGGTTCATTCCCTTGCCTAGAGAAACCGCAGCTACTTAAAGCTTCCTGAAGTGCTTTGTTCACCTTCCCAAAGATACCAGATAATTACTTGTGGGGAGCACATGCAGCTAACTCTTCAGTCTGGGCTGATTCCTTACCTTCTCATCTGAGGAGATTATAGGTGTAAGACCACACTGAAGATTATCACATCACTAAATATAGATTTCTACTTTGAGAATGTAGGAAGGAATTTTCACCATACCATCACATCATTAAGAAGGGAAATCTGATAGCTGGTAACACCGTTCCCAATCAATTATTTACTGCCATGGGATGGCTCCAAATATGTTGGGTGCAGCCTGAGGACCTCCATTTCCAACATCCTTTTTCTCAAAATTGCATAGCCACTTCAATGTTTCCAAAGAAAATTTGAACATTTTTACAGGAATTTACTGCTTGAGGACCCCAGAAGTGTGTGTGTGTGTGTGGGGGGGGGAGGAATACATTGACTGGAAGCTGTTTGAAAAAGAACCTCAGTGTTTGTTTTTAAAAGTGAATTGTTCTTGCTTGATATTTATTTCATATGCTGTAGTCACTTTTTCAAATTTTTCACCAAAGGAGAGAACCTAACTTAGGGTGGGCAGAAGGGAGATCATGGCCTACTAGCAGATCCTTGGCCTACCACCTGTGGACCACCAAGCACCGGCTGATTGCTCACTCTTCCAAGCTACAAAGTATGCTGAACCCTAGTCTGATCCAGCAGGACACTTCTTAGGCTCTGAAGCTAGAATGCAAAATTTGGATCACGTAACACAGTAAAGATACACCTGAACAATTAAGATGTCCGCCATACGTACATGCTCTTGTTAAATAAACATACAGAATGACTTTTTTAAAAAAGCGTATCAAACAAAATTCAAAGGAAGCACAGTTCCAGCAAAGAATCCAAAGCATTACCCAAGATTCTGCCTCTCTCCCCTCAGGTTTCTGTGTCTGATGGATATGCAGAACTCTCTCTTACAAGATAAAGGTAGCAAATGCAACCAGAAGAGCGTATCCAGTTGACACTCTTCAAATCTTGCCAACAGGCCTTTCACCTTCCATTTGTGCTGGACTGGAACTCCCATCCCACACTGCTTGCAAGACCCCTGCTGCTGGTGGAGGATAGCAGTGCAGTACAACACACCTGATCACAGACATTTAATTGGTCTCTACAGCGTAATAAAGTGCTCAGCAGATGACTCATTAGCAGAATGTCAGGGCTTGGCTCCCTAAGTCTTCTCTGCCTTCAGGCTTTTATTTCTGTGGATCAGGTTGCACGATAGGCATTCTAAAGACTTGTGAAATAGCTCGTACCATGCACTGGCTTCCTTAACAGCAGGGCCCTTAACTCCAGAAACCTACCAAGCCAAAATCCTGTCAGTGCAGCAAACCCTCTTCTAAAGGCCCATAAACAAGAGTCCAGGACAAAGAGAATGCAAACCTGGCAGATATCCAAGCATAAGAGGGGCTGATTTCAGCTAGGGCCTATTTTATATTCTAGGACAGGTCTGGTTAACACCACTTGCTCCTTGCTCCTGATTCTTGTCACCCTGGTCAAGTTACCAGAGCTTCTCTTCTCCTCAGAATCCTCTGGTTCTCCACTTGCCACAGTCTGAGCCACTCAATAAGGGTATGGCATGACTCCTTGTCTTGTAGC